AATATGAAGATAGTAAGCATCACATTAATAACAGGTAGGATAGACTTTAAGGCAATAAAACTCTACAAGTAAAAAATGCAATGTAACCATGCATAGATAAAACTATTAAAAATAATCTAATAACTTTCAACATTATGTAAATAATGTAGTTATCGAATTAAGTCAATGCTCTTGCCATATTAATAAAATTAAATACATATGAATATTAATAGCTATATTAATAGGTAATCCAAATATAGGTAAACAAGGATATAAAGAGTTTAAAAATGCAGCACTTGTGAAAGTTGACAGAAAGTTGAAAATAAATCTTTATTTAACAGAAATCAAATTCAACAGAAAGTTGAATCCAAAATCAGAAGGTATAGTTTTCAAGTGAGCAAGAAGTAGTTAGTTCTAAAGCTGAGGAAAAGCTGCACTAAGCAAACTTTAAACACTATAATGCTCTTAAAGGTGCAGTTTGAATTTCACTCACAAAGAATCAATTTTAGAAAGCTATACAAACAATAAAACAAGGAAGTCTCCACATCTTCAAATTGAAAGAGTTAACCTCGAGACAGATAAAACACAGTCACAATGCAAGCTATCAAACTTTTAAAACTTAATAATGTTGTTGATATTGTATGTAGGGTGCAAAGAAGTGTGAGTGTGTGCATGTATGTATTGTGAGTGTGTGTGTGTGTGTGTGAGAGAGAGAGAGAGAGAGAGAGTATGAGAGTGTGTGTGAGAGTGTGTTTCTGTTCTGAGAGTGTGTGTGAGAGTGTGAGTGTGTGTGAGTGTATTTATGTTGTGAGATAGTGAGTGTAAATGTGAATGCATGTGACAGAGAGAGAGAGAGGGAGCACATGCATGTATAAGTGTGCATGAGGTGATCTTAAAACACTCAGAGGAGGATGCTGAGTGCCAAGTCTGCCCCTGTCTCTCTCCACCTTTTTCTGTGATGCAGGATCTCTCTTTGAACCTGGAACTAGAATGGCAGGTGCCAGTGATCCCTTGTTTCTAGCCCTGCTGGGGCTGGAGACCACACACAGCTTTGTATGTGGGTGGTGGCCTCCAAACTCAGGTCCTCTTACTGAGTCATTTCTTCAGTCCCCACAAAGCAATGTTTATAGAGACACGTAGGCTTCTAAATTGTTTATATTGGATTAAAAAAAATTAATAGGATTATCTTGTGACTAAATAAGACTAGATTCATCAATAATTTATAAAAAGTTCTCTTTACATTAACCCACGTAAAATTAATTCAACATGAACTGAAAAGAGTACATTGACAGAACTTCAAGAAGAAAATGAGGTGAATATAATCTATACATATTTAATTCAAGAGTATCTAAATAGATCTATTAAATAAATCAGAGACAACTAGTTAAAAGTTGCTTGAAGACAAAAGCACACACTTTCTAAAATTCCACTCTTAATGAATAATAAATATAAGAAATGCTTTTTATCCTTGTTCCTTGTCAGAGAAATGTTGAGTCAAGTCATGCGAAGATGACAATGACATGGAAGAGTCAACCCCCTTTAAACTGAACTGCTAACTACAGTGAGGAACAAATGAAGCTTTTGCAATAGGATGTAACATAATTTTCTAAGCTTAGTTCTATGAACCTGAGACTGCATTTCCAAATACAGAAGGAGAAAAACACACTCATAAGAATGTGGACAGAAATGTTGCAGCAGCCCTGGTCATGATAACTGAAAGGCAGCTACCACAAATGTCTGAATATGAGACAAGTGCCTCCTGGGAAATTCACATGGGAGAACAATAAGCTATGTTCCTAAATAGACCCTTTAACCAAAGTTCTTTTTAATACAATTTTTATCAATATCTACATGCCATAGTATTTGTATTACTTATATTAAGCCTAAGGAATTGTTTTTCTTTAGTGAGTGATATAAAATTTGCATGTAGTTGGATGATATATTTTTCCAATCTGCTTATTGCTATACCTTAATTGGTGAATTTATAGCATTTATGTTTTAAGTAATTATTTATATCTGAGAATTTAAGTATGTCAGTTTGCTATCTGATTTCTGTTTATTTTATCCTTATCTGTATATTCTGCTTCTGTTTCACTGATTATTAATATAACCGGTTTACTAATCCATATCACAAAAGACTGGAGATCAAAGGGGATATTGGGAAAGTATCTAGGAATTTAAAGAAAACAGAAATACAATTATTTTACTGCATTAATGAGGTTATAACACCTAACTTTTCATAATGTCTGGTAAACTTGGATCTTTATTGATGGTATTTTTTAAATGAATATAAACTTAATGCAGCTAAAATATCATTTGGGAAAAGATGTTTCTCACAATAAAGGACTCCACACACACTCTTTATATTTTTATTTTATGTGCAATATATTGAAGTTCAAATAGAAATGAATTATTCTTTTTTAGTAAAAAATAGTATGAATTCTCTGGAATAGTACCAAATGAAAAGTTCCCCATGATTGCATATTTAACCTCAATAGAAAATATTTGAAACGGACCATAATAAAATAGGGTATTCAGAAACGAAGAAATATGTTTCTGTTTGAAGGTTCAGAGTCCAAGAAGAAGCTGAGAACAGAGACAACAGCTGGATGTGGCAATAGAAGTTCACCCTGGGCTCTGTGGGATCCTGTCTAAACCAGTTCACCATTAAACAAAAGTCAAAGACAGCAAAGATGGGCAGGAAAAATGAGGCTCACATTGTGAAAGTGTTGTATTACAGAGTAATTAATGCAGTTATTGGTTATGGCATCAGCATAAGGTGGTAGGGTTTTAGGATTCTGAATATTTTATCAGTGGGTGTAGGTTTACTTGCGTGCACACATTTGCATTCGTGTTACTTCGTAATGCTTTCTTTCCCCATCTGATCTTGGGGGGCGGACCAGGTGGTGTTCCATAATGACTAATGAAAATTCAGAGGAGTGCTGAAATCATTGGCACCCGTCTGTCAACTTCTCACCAGAATTCATAGGACTGCAGAGTTTGGCAGCAGAAAGAAAAGACCGCAGCACAGTCACTGACACCTCAGGCGTGGTCCAGGCTCCATGACTGTAACTCTAGTTTCTGGAATGGCAGCATACAGTGTGTGTTGAAGAAGCACGGCTCTAGAGCCACAGTTGAAGATGGGGAGTTAACACCAACAGACCGCAGCTCTCCATGCTGGACCTTCTCAGGACCAGCAAGAGTGAATGGAAGATGGCTGAGCAGATTGTTGAGTCAGGAACTGGCCTGGCATGCAAGCATGAGAAACTCCTACATGTGAGGCACTTACAGTGATAGTTTATGTCTATTGGGTCAGTTGAATTTGACCAATATTATCAGGTTTAACCCAATATTCAGACTGATATTTTTAAAAATCGTTCTCGATGAGTTTATAATTTTCCACAGATTGACATCTTTTGGGGGCTTATCAAGTAGGTAGGAAGAATGAGAGGTTAATTGGGAAAAACTGATGATGTGCATATCAATATCCACTCACGGCATTCTTATCAACAGTCCTCTGGGTGACGCACACAGCTCTGTTGTTGACAGCGCACTTTCCCTATGAAACATAACTTTTTCAAAGGTGAAAAGTTGATTGGATTTTAGAGAAAACTTGTACACACAGACTGCATATTTGAAAATGATAGCCTTCTGTGAAAAAAAATGAAACAGTCTAATGTCGATTTGAAACTGATAAACTATCTCATGGTTTTAAGAAACTTTTTTTTCTGGACAATACATATGGTTTTCTAAGTATTTGACATAAAATGGCATATTCACAAGTCATACTTTTAGCTTCATTGATAAGACATACTGCTTTCAGTAGTGCTGATCTTGTCAATACGATGAAGCAAATGGCCATTCTCTGGTTGAGATAGTTTAAAAGGTGTGAAGCATTTCATTATATAAGGCTCTAGTTTATGCATTCCAAATATAGGTGCTGTGAAAAGCACAATGCAGACAAGCACATGTAATGACAAGGAAGCTCAATGTTGTGAAGTACAGCCATTGTAGAAAACATTGATTTTTAATTAAAAAATATTTTACATAATGGCTACATTTATTCCCTCCCTCTCCTCCCTTCAAAGTCTCTCACACACCCCTTCTTACTCTCCTGCAATTTTATGGCCTCTTTTTCATTAATTGTTATTGCATGCACATATATATATATACATATATACATATATTTGTGTATATATTACACAATACACACATGTATAACTCTAGATATAATCTGCTCAACCATTTTAATATTGCTTGTATGTATGTTTTCAGACCATTTTGCACTTTCCTCAGGAGAACTACCTGTCCCTCGTCCAGCTTTCCTCATCGGCCTGTAGTACTTGGATAAGAGTGAGAACTCGTGGGCTTTTCCTTGCCTACTTTGACATGTCTGTCAGTGTCATTCTTGCTCCATAAAAACACCCATAAAGTCTCACTAACATGATTGCTCAAATGTGAAGGAGGTTCTTGTTTTTTTAAAACAAAACCATGGCATTGAGGAACAGTGGTGGATATCGAAAGACATGTAGATACAAACTGATAGGGCTTGTTAAAAAGAATTGATATTTTTGATCCAATAATTTTTAGAATCCTAATGATCACAAAAAGACAGTTCATTTTTCTCTTTTCTTTCTCATTCCCAGAGGTAAACAAATATAAAATATATTTGGAAGACTGTTGTAGATAATTATTAAGACAAGAACAAGGCAATACTTGAAACAAATATGGTTTATTTAACAATATAAATCTATTTTACATATAAGTTGGGAATCAAGTTTGATATAGTTTACATATGATTAATTACATTTTCAGAAGAAAGTTTTTGCAGACTGTCATACTATCTTATTAATAAAAATGAAACAATACAGACAAGTTGAATTTCATTTATTTTCCGAGATAATTGAAAATATAATAGTGCTTTTGAAGCCATTAAAATCTTTCTGGTTTTAAGACACTTGGAGATATTTCAACTTAGAGAGCTGGCTATAATTTGTAGGCTGAGCAGTTATAGAATCTTCTCAGTAGAAGCCATAGGACCAGTACCTTCTATAGCACAGTGGGCGGCAGCAACCATATCCATAGCCACCATAGCCACCATATCCACCACCATAGCCACCACAGCCATAGCCATAGCCTAGGCCACCATAGCCATAGCCCAGGCCTCCATTGTAGCTGCCGTAGTAACACATGTTGTTAGGAGCAGATTGTGATGAACCACAGGTAGGTTGAGTCTGGGTGACACCATCTGCCCAGGGCCTTTTATACCCCTGGGCTGTTGTTGGGGAAGCCACAGGCATCTCTCCACTGTGCTTCAGAGACATCACGAGTTCCATGATTTATTGGGTACTCAAGGCTTCATATGTGAGATAATTGTGCTCCTACATCAGCATCCAATGGTCAAAATGTGGAATCCATTTATTTTTCAAGAACCTAGATTGTTCTTCATCTAGAGCAGAGAATGTATCACAAGATTTTGTCAGATGATATGTCATTAAATAGTTTTCTCCATTTTACTGTTGTTTATTAGTATCAACTATTCCACAGAAAGGTCTTCATGTTTCCTTTCATGTTTTTGCTGTTGCTGTTGTTACATCATAAGCTTATTTGTTTTTTTTAAATTTTTTTCTTTTATTGAAAATAGATTCTTTTCTCATCCAATATATACCACTTATCATTTCCTCTCTCTCAGCACTTCCCATTCCTACCCACTTCCCATATCATGGGAATCCACTCTATTTATTTCTCTTATTAGAGAAGAATGGGCCTCTAAGAGATAATAATAAAACATCACAAGATAAAATGAAACAAAAATGGCCATTTTGATATTGGGCTCTGAAACTCAACATGAGCAAAAGAATCCCAAGAGCAGACACAGGAGTCAGAGTCTCACTTGTTATCAGACTCAGGATTCTCATAAAATACTCAGCTAATAAGTATACAGTACTTGAAAGAGACCTCCTGCCAATTCATACAGTCCCTGTGCATGCTTATCTGATACAGAAAACTTTTGTTTATTTATGTATGTATGTATTTATTTATTTATTAAAAATTTCTACCTCCTCCCCTTTTCCCAATACCCTCCCACTCTCCCCAATCCCTCTCCTCCTCCCTTTCCAGTCCTAAGAGCAGTCAGGGTTTCCTGCCCTGTGGGAAGTCCAAGGTCCTCCCCCCTCCCTCCAGGTCTAAGAAGGTGAGCATCCAAAGCGACTAGGCTCCCAGATGGCCAGTCCATGCAGTAGAATCAAAACCCAGTGCCATATTCCTTGGCTTCTCAGTCATTTTAGTGTTGGCAAGAGACTTGACTCTAGAGGGGTTCCCAGGTATCCAAGGAGATGTCCCAAGCTTGTTCTTTGGGCAGCAGAGGAGAGGCCTTATCCTATAGCCACACTGATGAATATCTTGCATATCACCATAGAACCTTCATTCGGTGATGGATGGAGATAGAGACAGAGCCCCACATTGGAGCACTGGACTGAGCTCCCAAGGTCCAAATGTGGAGCAGAAGGAGGAAGAATATGAGCAATTAAGTCATGAGCTTATTTGTAGGACTGCTTACAGCATCAATAATGGTTAATTTATCTAGATTTATTCCTAAGCACATTATTGTCCTGAATGTTGTTTTAAAACCTTTGGAACATAAAATACCATTTTATTTGCAAATCCATAGAAAAACTGTACAAGTTCTAGGTTTTTCTTTGTGAGACTATATAAAGGTATTGTAGGTGTAACTGTGAAACTCATTTTTTGTTGAGTCAGTGATCCAACATCTACTTTGATGATATTTAATCTTAAAAATTATTTTATATTTTTTATGTATACAAGTTTGCTTCATATATGCTTGCGTGGCATGAGGATGTAGTGCCTGAAAATGTCAGGTGTGAGTTGTGGATCTCTTGGACCTGGAGTTACAGATGGTTGTGAACTGTTGTGTGTGTGCTGGGAATTGTACCTGGGTTCTCCGTAAGAGCATCCATAACTCTTAGCCGCTGAGTACTGTTTCCAACTCTAAGCTTATATATATTTTAAATCAGGATCCACATGTGCCCTTAGACATGATTTTGACAAAAAAGCACTGTCATGCCATCTAAAAAGTTTACTCAGCATCTACTGAGATGACTAGCCAGTGGGTGAAAGTACTTGGTATGTAAGTGTGAAGCTCTCAGATAAAACCTCTGGAATTATGTAACCACATGCCTATACCCTAGGGATGTGTAGGTTACAGATAGGAGAATTGCTGGAGCTTGCTGGTTGTCAGCCTAAGCTGATGTCGAGTGTGAGACCCTATGTCAAAAAATTAGGTGGTAGACAGAGCGTAGGGCAAGGAACTCAGTGTTTTACTCTGACTTTACACAAGCTTACGTGCCCTCTATCAACAGTGTGCCTACATCACAGACATACTGCATGCAAATTCGTACACGTACATACACAAACACAGGGTTTAGGGTCTTGAATTATGCTTTGTGGTAGAATCTTTGTCAATTATGCACAAAATATTAGTTACTAACCTGAATGTGCTCTCCTCATAAAGTCATGTTGTATATGATCTTTAAAGAGACCAGATAAGCCATGCACATGTCCTCTGTCTCTCTCTTTGTAGCTGCTGGATGGAGTATTAGTAAGAATGATGAAAACCCAGTAGTAAAAGGCAAGTTTTAGATTAATTTTTTAAAAGAAAACCTTTAGATAGCCAAATGGTAAAGTTCTACTTTACCACTTTTGCAAATCAAAATTACAATGAGACTGTCCCCAGCAGCTGTTAAGTAAACAGCTATAGAGAGAAAATGGGGGTTTTCTTAGTTATGGTTTCTATTACTGTGATGAAATACCATGACCAAAAGCAACTTGAAGAGAAAGGTTTTATTTGACTTGTACTTCTACATCAGCATTCATCCCCAAAGGAGGTAAGGACAGGAACTCATACAGGACAGGAACCTGGAGGCGGAAGCTGAGGCAGTGACATGGAGGGGAGCTGATTACTTGATTGCTCTCCGTGGCCTGCACAGCCACGTTTGCATAATGTAAACCTACCAGCTGATGGAGAGCATCACCCACCATGGGGTGGCCCTGCCTTTTAAATCACTGATTAAGAAAAGACCTTGCAGATGAATCGTACACAGGCCTTTCTCAACTGAGATTCCTTCCTTTCCAGTGACATAGAGCTACTAGCACACAGGTGTTATAAACTTGTGAATGAACAGAAATAAAATAATTGTGCTTCTGTGTCACAATTCTATGGCCAAATAATGAAATGTCTGGCTTTTTGAGAGCCTGTCTAATCCTTTATTACTCTACATTTTGTTTATTGAAGACATATGACCTGGTTCTCTCATACCTTACAATCATTAAACTAATATTTTCCCTTCACATATTGTTTTGCTTTTCACTGTTCCACTGGAAGGATTTTGTCTTCCTTCTCTCCTTCCTTTGTTCCCTTTCTTTCTTTCTTTCTTTCTTTCTTTCTTTCTTTCTTTCCTTCCTTTCTTCCTTCCTTTCTTTTCTTTTCTTTTTGCTTATGCTGCTTTATAAGATGAGTCTTATGTGGATGAATGTCTCTTGTGCCTTCCTGATGCAGAATGGATGAGGTATGGATGAGTTTTTTAAAGTAGTAATTACTGTTCTGTGTATATTTGTTTGGTGTGTATTTTTTTCTCTTCTTTTTTTTTTTTTTTGGACAGGATTTCTCTGTAACTTTGGTGCATGTCCTGGAACTAGCTATTGTAGACCAGGTTGGCCTCAAACTCACAAAGTTCCATCTGCCTCTACCTCCTGAGTGCTGGGATTAAAGTGGTGCATCACCACAGCCTAGCTGGTGTGTATTTTTTAGTCATGTCATTTAATCTCTGTTATTTCAACCTTTAGAAAATAAATGGCCCTTTTAAAATTTGTTAGTTTTTTGGAATTCCATACAATATATTTTGATCATATTTACCCATAGCAACATTTCAATTGTATTTTAATAAATAAAGGCTGCCTGAAGTCCCAAAAGTAAAACAGTCCCACTAATCAGCCTTATAGATGAGGTTATGTTAACACACACCTTTAATCCCAGTAGCCACAGTGACAAGCACCTTTAATCCCAGTGGTGCATGTTGAAGGAGGCCTGTTTGTTGGTTCCTGTTTGCTCATCAGCTCAGCCCCAAAATAATCACACAGAAACTCTATTATTTAAGTCACTGCTTGGCCCATTAGCTCTAGCTTATTGGTCAACTCTTACATCTTTATTTAACCCATTTTATTAATCTGTGCATTACTATGAGGACATGGCCTTCCAGCAAAGTTTCAGCACATTTGTCTCTGGCAGCGACTCCATAGCTTCTCTCTGACTCCGCCTCCCTTCTCCCAGCATTCAGTTTAGTCCCCTGCCCCCAGTTCTGTTCCCCTATAGCTTTGCTATAGGTCCAAAGCAGTTTCTTTATTAGCCAATGGTATTCACAGCATATAGAGGGGAATCCCACATCAGGTGCACACCTTTATCTCAGCCCCAGAGTGGAATATAAGATGGGGTAAATAGCTCTCAGACACACAGTCTCATTATGAGATTCCTGAAGGCAGAATCATCATTTTCAGACTGATGACAAGGTAAGATCCAGTGACTGGCTGTTTTGCTTCTCAGAGTTTTAGGTTGAGCCCCAATTTCTCTCTCTGGTTTTTTTTTTTTTGTTGTTGTTGTTAATTGTACATCTTGTGGCACCCAACAATTTGGGGTATAAATTCACAAAAATGCCATTTGTTTGAGGTTCTTTAGCCACCAGCTCAGGTCAGAATTGGGATTGGAATTACAACTATAAGAACTAGACCCAAACCTAGCCACCTGGGTTTGGGAGAAAAATCAACACTCCCAGCTCCCATATGCCCTGGCTTAGCTTCCATGTAAAGATGGAAAATACACAGAGAATCTTGATACTGTATGTTATTGTGTTGTATTTGAATTGTTTGATGGCTGAGGAAAGAACAATAGTTGCTAAAAGACATTTGATTATAAATGCTGATGGATTAATCCAATTTATATATTTTGAAAATGACTTGACTTCAAAATTAAAGTCAAAAGAAACATTACTTTGGAGAAGAGGTTTTGATTTTCTTTCCACAGGAAACAAGAGGCTGTGGATTCATTCTATGTTAAGAAAAATCAGGTTTGATCAAGGAAGACCCCCTGAAAAAGTCTCCAATAAGAGAAGATGGCTCAGAT